GTGGCAATAGGCAAGGAGTCTATGATCAACAATCGCATATCCCGTCGACCTGCCTCCTGTCGCGCTACGAGATCCTCCGCTGCACGCTTTATTATCAGTCATCCTGCGCGTATAGGTATGCTGCATCCGCATAATTGTCGGGCATCATACGGGACTAAGCGTAACAGCAACCAGGACACGTGTCGTTCTAGTGACAACAGCGGATTGGCGATAATTCCACACATCAACACACGGCCCATCGCAGAGGACCAGTGTGGATCAGGACGTTTTCCCTTCTCCAGACCCTTGGGCCCAAGACGACCTTCGCCTGTCTTCGAAATGGTCGACGATTTGCCAACGCTCCCAGGCTCTCTCATATGGGACAGGGGCCGATCGGAGGTGCGCCTGGTCAGCTCGCCATTCTCATCGTCCCCACCCATCGCCATCATCAGGGACATCCGCCCGTTACTGAGCAGCCCAGCACGTCTGAACGCGGTCCGCCATGCTACTGTGTGCTGTTCGCGGGCGTCAGAGCGCTTGGAGGCGGAGACGGCGATGCAGCGTTCGACGTTGGGGCAGGTGGCCGAGCCCGTGCCGCATGCCACAGGGGCGATGCTGCCGCTACACGCGGACTCCGTTGCTTCTGGATACGAAGAGGTGGGCACAACGCAGCCGGCAGGAGCCGTCGCTGCTTTGGCCGTCTTGCTGTCGCGCCTGCCTGCTCTGGAGACCCTCGAGATCCGGACCTTTGACCGGGTCGAAGATGAAGAGGATGACGAGCAAACCGCATCTCTAGCACTAGGAGACCCCGTCATCTCCCTCCTCTGCCGGGAGATGCTTTCGGCCGGCACCATGGCCTTCGCACACGTCAGGACGGCCAGGGTCGTTGTACCATACCCGGACGATGACCCCGCCGCGGAGTTCGGCTTTTACGTCAGCGCAGACACTGTGCTACCCCTGTTTTACCTCCCGCAGGTCCGCACCCTCGAGATGCACCGCGTTGAGGACGGTGGACGGTTGGTTTCATGGCCCGCCGGGGCAGGCCCCGTCTCCGCGACGCAGCTTAAAGAATTGGTCATGAGCAAGGCCCAGCTGACTGAAGCAAGTCTGGACCGACTTGTGCGAGCATGCCCAGACCTGGAGGTTCTCCGCTGGGAGCATGTTATCGATGCCGAATACGCCCGGTCGTGGCTTGACTTGGACGCGCTGCGCACATCGCTCGAAACCCTGAAGCACTCGCTACAGGAGCTCTCCTTCAGCGTGATTCTCTGGACATCCACAGCTATCGACTGCGGCGAGCAAGGGCCGTGGGGTATTCGGGGCACGCTGGCGTCACTCAGGGGGTTCTCTCAGCTTAAGCGCATCACTATCTCGCTACCGGTACTACTTGGGTGGAGAACAGATAACTCGGCAAGGCTCGCCGACGTGCTCCCCGCTAGCATCGAGTGTGTTACAGTCACTAACGAAATGTTCTTCTGGTGGCACTCCCGATGGGACGACGTCAAGTGGGAGGCGGACGACCCAAGCGCCCCAAGGTGGCACACACTCGAAGCTAAAATCACAGAGTACCTGGAGGCTAGGCCGTCAAGCTTAAGGCAGCTCAAGGTCGAGGTTTGGACAGCCGGTGAGACATCACGGGCTGAAGAGTTAAGAGACAGGCTGACATCAGTCGGGGCTGCTACTAGTGTTCACGTCACTGTTGAGCTGAGGTCATAGTTACGGAGGCTAAAGGAGGTGAAAGGACGGAGGACTACAGACATATTATACAAGTCAAGAAGCCTTTACTTATGGTAAGGTGACTGGTGCCTCGGGTGGAATATCTGGTTGATAGTAGCTTAGCTGCGACTGAGATCACTACGTAGTCTCAAGAATCATCAAAGAAGCTATTAGGAGCCCAAAGACCCAAACGCATATGTAGTAGTTACCCACCAGCCTGTGTACGTCTAACATCAGCTAGAGCACCCTCATCTCACCACTGATCCCATGACTAAGAACGTCTAACGATACCTTGGACAGGGCAGGGAAGCATATGACGTTTCTCAGTGTTCATAATAGTCTGTTTCCACAACGGACGGAGAAGTGCATAGATAGGCTAATCTAACCATGTTTTTCTTTGGTCTCTTTTGCTCTTTGCCTTTCTCAAGCATCTCCTCACACCTTAAAGCAGCAGCTGACACTGTCTCAGCATGCAGTATGTTCTTGCCATCTCGCCTTTTGCAAATGCATATTGCAAATGCATATAGGCCTTAAACTAACCCCCTAGGCCGTAGTAGGCAATCATATAGGAAGTGGGATGTTGCTGCCATAGCGCTGACACTATAGGTAAGGGACAACATTAAGCTACCCAACATAACATAACACAACAAATGGAGGTGGTGCCTTTGCCTATAGTTAGCAGGCTGGCGCATAACCCCTTTCCGACCATCAAGGCCAGTAGCAGTGACTGCAATTATCTACAGGCCTTGTTTCTGCTGTCGGAAAAACAGCTAAATGTATAGTGTATATAGTTGAACTAAGAAGAGCCCCACGCTCACATACAAATTACACTAGATGCCTTATTACTAGTAGGCAGGCCTAGAAGAGTACACTGACTGTTGTACCAAGGACCGTTAAAGCTAGACACGATGTTCAACAGCTATAGGTAGTCACTTATGCCTTTGACTACAGAAGCAGCAGCAGCATCCCGTCAGGGCTAAAACGTCATACCACAACACAACGCCTAGGCCGGTTGCCGCACAAATGAGCTAGGTAGTCCGAAGTTTCATCTTTAAGCCACTCTAGTGTTCAGGAGCATTATAGGGGGCTAATTCTCTTGCATCCCGCCGCTAGGTTCTAAAACGGGGTGGTGAAATCAGGGCTTCACACGAGTTCAGTCGCATATGAACAATCTGCCCACTGAGGCTTCACTCATTGACTTCAAAGGGCCACGGATCAGCTGTACTCATAAAGATAGCGGCAAGTGGCGTCAAACCGTAGCCGGGTCCAGGACTCCAGCCCTCCGTGAAAGCAGCGACAACTTCAAGTTATCCATAAGCTAGCAGTGGGATACTGCGTAGTACTCCTAGGGTCGGCCTCTCGCCGGCTACTGGAAGATACGGACTATATACCTTAGGTATAGCTTATCCCAAAGAACTGAGATAGCAGGACGAGGTTGATGGACGTTTTGCAGGCACGACGGACCACCCTAGTATCTTAGCCAAGGTAGAAGTCAATATGCAGCGGGAATAAGAGGCTGCAACGCCGCGCAGCAGAGAGATATGGCCGAGGCCGCCCACTGGTATAGCTTAGCATAGTGCGTCGTGGCCCACCCACCATACGCCCTGTAAGCCGGGAGGATAAAGCAGTTTGGAACTGTCGCCATCACTACTTTATTATTTTAGGAGTCGCGTAAGCATACGTACGTTACCGTATGTTATAAAGACGAGGTCGGGGCACGGACGACCCTCGTGATGTAGCTAGTAGATCTCGTGATGCGCCTCTTCATTTACGGGGGCTTTAAGGTACTCGGGAAGCTCTGTGCTCTGGCTATTCCATCTATTATGTGTTGGACTTGTGACCTAAGAACCTCCTGCCTCCTGGCCGACCACGCCGTCTCCGAGGAACTGTGTAATCGCAAATGTTGATATATTCTCACCTTCACGTTAGTTTCCTGTTCTGATCCCCTATCTCGAAGTGCCGCCGCACGAGCCCTCTATTCAAGATAGTGCCGGGGCCACTCTTCTTACAGGATATGCCCTAATGTGTTGTTACTCAGGCCAGCGTGGGCAGGTGGTGGAAAGGGAGGCACATGTATAGCTACGAGGGACTGCTGATCAATTTCCAGTATCTCCCTCCAGGAAGCGAGAGATTTTCCAAAGGCGGGAGAGATCTGTCATATGGCCTCACATCTAATCCGGCCTGCCTCAGCGAGAGTCCACTCAGCGTCCGTCATCTGACACCCATCGGGACGAATCATGATATCCCGCTACAGGGATGCTTGTGATCTGGCTATGAGATTCAAGGCTACCGTCGGTTCCGCGTGGAGCTTGCCCGCCTTGTTGGCCGACTCAGCCGGGGGGACTGCATGCCAGTCCTCAGAGCGTTCGCAAGGTGGTAACTGCAGCAGGTCAATGTATTCATTGTGAAGGTAATAAGGTAGCATCTATAAGCCTCGCCATCCGTCGCAGCCTGCACTAGGCGATTCCAAGGCTAGACCCTGGGCTAGCTTACAGATAGACCTCGGTTAGCACATTAGGCTGTGTGCTGCCGTCCGTTGGTGATTGCGATGCTAAACACCTCGTTTCCCGTCCTTGCGTCTCTTAACAAAGTGGACGAGTCCCAACCTGGCGAAAAGAAACGCAGTCCACTCCGCAGCGCGCTCCATTCTACGGCTTGATTTGAGGCCGTAATAGTCCTCTAGCGAGGTTGAGGATACGGGGTTGACGTTAGCGACGTCATCAGCACAGGCAGACCGAGACCGCTTCCCCCCAGGACGAACGGTGCACAGCTTGATGAGAGATTCAATATTACATCAGCATGAAGAGGATTGGGAGGGGGCAAGTAAGAGAGGGGACACCCCGAAATAGTGCTCAAGGGTTGGGGTTCTAGTCAGGCTGGGAGCCAGCTTGCGCTCGCGTTTGTGTGTTGCGCGCGGGTGGGTCGGTGGGCCTTGGTCGATCCGGACATCCCGCGAGGCGGATGGTCTAACGGAATAATTACCCACCTAAATGATAACATAAAAATTGCCGGGAGGGGACACCAAACCAGCATCGCTTTTTCAGATAGGTAATGGTCAGTGAAAAAGAGGATAAGTCCAGACTCACATGGCCCGTCCTGTTACTTATATTGAGGTGCTTATAACAATAGACTCTCACTATGAAGCCCACACACTTTCTCTGTATTCCACTGGTCACCCGATTGTCGCGGCCTGGGCTGTCTGCGGAGTTGAGCGCTCTTAAGTCATACATTACTAGTGCGGACAATATCAGCATCCCGCGTCCGCTGTGCGTCCCCTCAGCACTATCCACCTCACTTTGGGAGTCATGAGCCTTCCCGAGCCCAAAGACGTTGAAGAGGCGACCCAGGTCCTTCAGAGCATCATTCCTCTACTTCCCCAAAGGCCCATCAAGATCTCGCTCCTTGGCCTAGGAACCTTTCCTGGCATAGATCCAGGACGTGCCGAAATCCTCTTTGCGCACCCCACGTGTCTCGACTACGACTTCGACGCGCTATGCCAAAGAATCCGGCATGTGTTCGAGGATGCTGGTATCTTCGACAAGAGAGGCTTCAGCTTATTCCTTCACGCCACCATCTTAAACGCCAGGAAGACCGCCGACGGGGGGCTCATTGACGCGACGGAGATCCTAAGGAGCTATCGGGGACACGTATGGATGGAAAATGTTCCTCTCGAGGAAATCGGGATTTGCCGGATGGGTGCCAAGAAGAAGGGGGGTGATGATGAGGAATATCTGCTCGCAGCTTCCATCCCACTCACGACTTCGGCTGATAGATGAAATGTGAGGTGGAATTCTGATGTAAGGTAGAGCAGCCACTTGCCTGCTTTTACCCTATTAGTTCTAGATATCTAGTAGGTCCGTTCGCTAAGAGACCCCTTCAGGATCGGGGACAGTGCCACTGATTACCAGTACAGCGGCTAGTCCTCAGGTCTGAGGGTTAGTTGAACCCGAGCATGAGGTGACTTGTAGTCGGATGGGACCTCTACAGGTCTCCAGCAATTAACTTCGTGAGCATCCTCGGACCCTTTCAGCTCATCTTCCTCCGCGAATACTCGTTAAGTTTAGGACTAGTCACCTTGGCCCCTAACCACTTCGATCTAATTACCACAGCCTTCAGCAGCAATGATGCCTGCGTTTATTGCATCCCACTGCACACTAACTTAGGCATTGTATCCCCAGCGAAAGCAGGCAGCATATGCGAGAATGCGAATTCGTTTCTTGGACCTCGCAATAATGCCGTGATCGTTTCCGCCAGCTTGGCTCCTCCGGAGCTAGATGGGTACTTCCTCATGAGTTTCAACAGTCCTCGGCCATCCGTTGCTAAGCGGACAGAACGATATGTCTGTCTTACAAACGGACAAGCTACAGCTACTACAGCTCTAGAAAGGCCGTAACATATTTAGGCTAGCTGTCTGTTCTTTAGCAACTCCATATAGAAGCTACTATAGAATCATCATGTAGCGATTTGGAGAAGTCTTGTGGTCTTGCTAGTAAAGGGCCTTTGATCTGCAGTTTTTTAAACTGATAATGAGCTCATGAGGGTAGTCATTGGTCTTTAGTGTTATCCTAATCTGAAAGTTGCTTGTTCGATTCGTCAACAATACCCGTTGAGTTGTTAGCTGGGTTCTCATTCAAATCCCACACAAGTGGACAACATGGCTGCATTTAAGAGATAATAGGGTTCATTTGTGGTACTTTGAAAAGATGCAGCTTCTAATGACTCGTCCCTACTTCAGGCGTGTCTGCTGAATCTCTGCTTAAGGTAGGACGAGTAGAAGGTCTTAGAAATAGCCAGAAGACAGTCGTTATTTAATAACAGGTTAGGCCTGGCTGGCTTCAACGACCCAGATCCTTTGCTATGCGCTATAGAAAGCAACCCTGATACGTTCTGTTCTGTGCTAGCTCTTGATGGCCGCCTGAAAATTTCTAAGGCCTCAAACCAGGAGTCGCATTGTGGGTCTGACGAGGTGCATTTGATTCTACAATAGGACCCCAACAGTAACAAAGCTGCAAGCTGCTATCCTGATGGTCTTGTGGTCAGCGTTGAGTGTGCATCATGGAGACAGGTCAGCAGCCACCTAGAGATTCTCTCCTGTTTTATTGCTTCACTTCTGGTGAAGAAGGCCATGAGTAACCTCATAACCACAGGAGATATCATGATATCTATAATAGTATGCCCAGGCCTCTTATCACTGTTCGCCCAGGCTCTCAACCCTGCTGGTACGGTAGAGTGATAGCTAACAGTATATATGCGGAGAGTGCCAGAGCTTACAGACGTACTCAAGCAACTTCCACCTCTAACGTATATACAGTCTGCTTCCTAACCTACTAGTGAATATGCAGTATGTGATGATGAAATTGGGCGTGGGAAGGAAGTGATACACAGTGTCTAGCAAGACTTAAGCTGCGGAAACAACCAAGACGAGAGCCATACGTCAAGAGGAACATCTATTAATAAGCTGGTTGGGCACCCAGACCGTTAGTGATGATATACCTGTATTGTCATTCCCTGCTCTTTCGCTACCTACATAGCTGGGCGCTAAGCTGCATATGAGGACCGGCTTTGGCGCATTTTACGACCTCCTGATGCCCCACAATGATAGGTGCCAGCATGATGAACAGCAGACTGGGGAGCATAGGACTCTGAGGATATTGTTGCGGCGAACTAAACGGTGAGTCGGTGTGGGTGCAGGCCGCCTTGGGAATCTGGCCATTAGCCAGGAGAGGCAGGCACGAAAGGATTGAAAGCTATTCTTCTCAACACCGCTCCCAACGCAATCTATCTTACCTTACTTTATGACATGCTGAATAGTAACGGTCGTAGCTGCCGAAGATAGACAAACGATACAAGGCCGTCGCAAAAAAAAAAAAAGCGCCTGAATACGTTCGGCCTTTTTCGGTGGGAGTGGCGATCGGCTCGGACCGGACTAGGGTTACGCAACAGCGCGTTTCCTCGCCGCTGTCAGATGCAAGCCGGGGACCCCGTCCCACGGGGCATATTACGGACTATGGCTTATAGCACGGCCGCCCGGCCAACCCCCCCCCCTAAATTAGATCTCCCCCTTGTACCCAGGCACCCAGGCAGGCACCTCCTCCTCGCAGCGGGGTCTTGCTTGGTCTGGGCTGTTCCACTGGCAGGGGTGGCTTGTGGAAACGCAACCTAAAGCCGAAACTCAGAACCAACGACATGATTGGTCCCCCGGGCAGAAATCGTCAACGCGTCCCTGAGCATCCTTCTCGGCCTTCAGGGGAGATATTCTGCACGTAATGCGCGCTATTTCCCCCAACGCGACCCAACGCGACCTTCCTAGCGTAATGCGTCAGTCTAGCCACTGACGTCCAATTACTCGGCTTATCTATAGGTAGCTAGCGCGCCCTATAGATGGGGTGAGGCAGGGTTCCAGATTAGCGGGCGGCTTTTAAGACATTGTTGCCCTGAAAGCAAGATGGTCCCCGGCACCTGGGATGCAAGTTGTTGCCCCGAAGGCGGGACGTCGCCTCTGTCAAGATCGGCATTCTCACTGCAACAGCAGAGGAAGCATACAGGAAACTGCTATGCTAGCCTAAGTCAAGGGCAGCAATGAGATATAGAAGTCCTTCTTTGCCTTGTCATTTGCGCCCATCATAGACCTATAGACCCTTTGCAGGCAGAGATGTGCGTGGCCAATTGTAGTACGTGCTCCTATCGAGTCGTCTTTGTTGTCTGAAGAATCAGATCATACATTCTGCACCTGTCCACAGTATGAATCCTGTTAGCCAGGCCAAGGCTCAAAGAAGGTATGTGCTTTGACAGAGAGCTCAAAAGTCCAATAGGCTTCCTTAGGTATCAGAAGCTAGTAGTGAAACAACATCAGAAAGAAAAGGCTAAGAACAGCCTCAACTACGCCCGGTAATCAGTGTCATAATAGAGACTTTCAACAGAGCTAAACCATAAACACTGAAGTCGTCCTATAGCTCTACTAGTAGGGTTAACTACCCGCTGCACCTCACTAGGGTTAGGAGTGAAGGCTGAAGCTTCAATATACACTGGGCTGCAGGAATGTGATCCGCCGCGTCACGTTTAGCTTTCTTATCCCATTGACTACTGCATAACATCGGAACCTCAGATACAATTCCTACTCTTCGCTCAGCATGCTATTCTTGAAAGGGTATGGAGTTGAGGGGAACGACGGAAACAGAATCATATGAAACCATAATTATTTACGACCCCGCATCGAGATCTACTGACGTCATATGGCAGTCGATGGGATAGATTGGAGTTTCAGCTGTAAAAGTAACGCGCAACCGTAACATTCGGAAAACGCATAGGTGTAGTTACCCTTTGCATAGTAGCTAGCTAGGCAACTAACCACCTGGCCCTGATCTGGCAGGACTGTTATTGTGAAGGGGCTAACCTTAACGCGTGTGGTTTTATTCACTTCCCCCTTTTTTTTTTCTTTCCTTTTTTCTTCTTTTTTTTTTTTTTATTTGTTCCCATTTCTCAATCTTCAAATCCTTCTGCCTCACCCTTTAGCCCGCAAACAACTCATACATAGTAGTATTCTCAATGCTTATGCAAAGTGCAGACCGTACAACCTACAAGCGCAAACATCGTCAAGTCCGGCAGTCGTGTAACGCTTGTAGTCTGCAGAAAATACGATGCGGTAAACAGCACCCGATATGCCACCGGTGCGCGAAGAAGGGGCTGTGCTGCCAGTACAGCATGTCTATGCGTACAGGTGAGCGTCAACGACTAGCCGAATTGTACGACATGCCGGGGAGTAGCACAGGAACGTTGTCATCATTCGCAGCTCCTCAGCTAGTGTCACTATCGCTCAGCACGACGGAGGATCCCTCCACCGAAAGCCCGACGAATCGCTCTCAAGCCTCGTTTGACGACGTCAGGAACTGGAGCTGGCTGATTGACACAGCATCTATGTATTTACTGGAGCCTAGCCTGGAGCTTGCAACAAGCGAAGATCCTTCGACTAATAGCATAGTGTTAAGTTCGCCTAGCAATCAGAACACGCCGTCCTCTCCGCAGTATTATCCGAGACAGCCTGATGGGAACTCCGATATCCCATGTGCGGGAGATACTCGACCCACCGAAGATGTAGGCAACAGTATCCAGGACGCCAGCCCACGGCCGCAAGTGAAGGGCGACGCCCTTAATCCCGATAGAACACGCCGTGTATATGACTGCGCCACTGAGGCTCTGAGCCTCTTAGAAAACCTCCACACGTCAGCGAGCGGCTGTCTAACGGTTGTACAACGCCCACCTCATCTCGTCGCTATCGAGGGAGACTGCAAATCCGGGCAGAAAGATATAGGCGATATACTGTCTGAAAACAGAGAGGCACTCGCCAGACTTAACAGCCTACTAGGCTGTCCATGCTCTAGAAGGCAAAACATACTTCTTTTGACGTACCTGGTGATTGCTAAAATCGCGGACTCGTACCGCCTGATCCTCGGGATCAGCGACAGCGCCGAGCCTGCAGCAAAGCATTCCACTATGGAACAGTCACCTAAGATAACTTTGACGACTGTCTCGTGTATCGGCAGCTACCCCTTGGACGATAACAGCCAGAAGATTCTCAGCGCGCACCTGGTCCTAAGGCAGGTTAGAGATCAAGTTCAGCCTCTACTGAAAAGGATACGTCCCGGCCACGGCCATGTTCCCGACTCACTACCACCTACATACAGTCAGTGGTACCCATCGCCTTTGAAGCCTCTCCAGTCGACGTTACCAGTTCATCACCACTCTCACGTTACGGGCATAATCAACCAAGTGTATGCCGACGCTAGTAGTATCAAAACTGGGTGCTGACACTGTTGCCCTATATCTAAGTAGGGTCATGACGCCTCCAGGTCCTGCGCCCTCGTCGCGGATGAAAAAGCCCGTCGTTCACGGTTGTTAGCAGTATTCTCCTCAACAGGAGGCAGGGAATCGGAGCGAAACTTGTAACCACCCGATATTATGTCACGAGAGCCCGCCTTTTCGCTCAAGCTTGCCCTTTTACGCAGCGTTAGCCACTTCAGTTTCGTTCATTAGCTACCTTAATGTTTAGTAATATGGAGCTCGTTCGTTCTCAATACTATAGCGATTGGGGTGGTGTGGTGGTAGGGTGGACAAGCCAGAAGGTCATATGCCCTCATACGCCAGTCACTTATTAGTAGAATTCATCGGCAATACGAAGTATAGTAGAAATAAACCTACCGTGCCGTTATATATAACGCTGGTCCATTGTAATAGGGTAGCTGGACGAGTCTAGGAGCTAATATCTTCTTTTCCTTCTCAATCTTCTTTTTCCTGAAGTGGCTTTCTGTCCTTTCACTTACTTCCTTTTATTCCTATCTTCTGCCCCCCCCCTCCCTTTTTCTTTTTCGTTTATTGCGAGGAATCCCTTACAATGGCCACAGGCACAGGTTCCAGTCGGGCTTGATCCCAGTATAGATGCTACGCAGTGGTGTTTCCTAGAACAGGCTTCCCTTATACTATTGACCTACTAATCAGATGCAACCCTGTAGACCTAAAATGATTGCTATCATCTGCTGGTTCTCACGTGCTCGACATCAAGGTCCTTAAGCGCCACGGTGAGCCCCTCTTATTCCTGCAGTTCTGCAGTATATATATCCTGTCCCAGCCGCTTACCTTGCGACCTAGGTAGACGGCTGCTCTACTGTCACTATTACATACGTAGCAATCGATTACAGTATGCCCAAGCAGGCAGCTCCTGACTTTAGACACCCATCTGAAAGCGTCTCAGACGCGCAGGAACACCAGGAACACCTGCCAGCCAGCCCTCAGACCGGCTCACCCAACGCAGTAACGATGCCCAAGGACGACGCTAATACAGGCGAGGCCTTACGGCTACTGCTCCCGCGGTATCGGCCGGAGGGGGCCAGCAGCGGGTTGTGCCCTCAAAGCGAGGCCTCGCCGCTCGCAACATCCCGAACGCTTGGTGCGGCCCGCGACAGCCGCACCTGAACGCCAAGCAGCGGCGCGCAGCAAAGCGACGGGCTCGTTTCCACGTGCCACACGGGCGAACATCTCTAATAGAGGAAGAAGCTAGGGCCTGCGACGACCTGGCGCCGCCCCTTAGGGAAAGATTCTCAGACCCGGTTGAGATACATCGAAGTCTATCGGCTATCCCCGTCCATCCTCCCCCAACCCATCTCCTCAAACCCCGCCCGCACACCGCATACGACCCGTTGATCTGCGACTTCATATCCCTCCTGAAGAGTAAGAATGTCAGCTGTGCGCTCTGCGCCTTCTATAAGCGGGGACGGATAGCAGAGACGCATAAGCTGAAGAGGTGCTCACATCAGGCGGAATCATCGGAAGCCCAGGGCTGGTTAACAATGTTCCGGTCGTACCGTGCCCGCGGCGGCGGCAAGGGGGCGCGGTGCCACGCCTGTCGGTTCCCGCTAACGCTCTGTTGGCGGACGGTCTACCGGGAACAAATGGACGAGTGGTACGGCAATGAGCAAGAGGCGCTGGAGAGGGAGGATATACTATGTAAGGAGGTACAATGCGTATGGGTAAAGGCCGTGCAGCGGTTTGTTACAGCATGCATGATCGTAGAAGGCATTGGTGCTGGTACCGGCGTGAGCACCCTGGGTGCAATGGTCCTGGAGGTGATGGGCTGGTCGGACTGGTCGGGTCTGTTGTCGAACGGGCCCGAGCATATACGTGGATGGCTAGAGGAGATGGATGAAGTGGATGGGCTCTGGTGCCCGCGACTCCTACGGCTGTTCTGGCTCCTAGCCCACTGCTGAATAAGGTAGTATAGTCAACTACTGAAATCAAGTTGGAATTCTTGTTTCCTTCGGTCTTCCTCTTCCCTTTTTTCTCTTTTTTCCCTTTCTTCCTTTTCTTTTTCTTTTCTTTTCTTTTTCATCTGCCCTCTTCCTTCCTCCCTCAGCGATTCTTTCCCATACACGCGGGAGCCATGTGAGAATGCCCCCTATCAGTCAACAGCAACGTGGAAATTTAACTTGAGCCTGACTAATCGGGAAGTCACCTAGCAGCATCTCGGCAAGCAGGAGCGAAAGTGGAGAGAAAGGCACTATATAACTAACTACAACTGCCTGCCCTTACCTGCGTACTTGCCTGAAACACCTACTTAAACACCAGGCTAAATCCACACTCACACTCACACACTCCCACATCTGATGCCTTTGTATTAGCGTGGAGCTAGCTAATGAGCTGGGAGCAAATCAGAAACCTACTATTGTGCATCTCCTACTACTGCCTTATAAGGCCTATTAATATCTTGCGAACAGTATTGAGTACCTACCTGCAAGGTACCTCAGGCAAGCACCTACTGACCTAAAACATCACCCTCTTAATTCTCATGCTAAAACTGTTGACTGCTTAGTTTACCCTCCCTGAAGCGGACCTGCCTCAAACACGAGATATTCAATGCTTACCTGTCAACAACGCAAGAGATCAGGAAACTACCTAGTACCAAGAATACCTCCTCACCTCCCCATCGCCCAACCCTACAGGAGCGAGCGTTCCGACCAGGAGGAGCAGCAGGAACGAGCGCGACACGCTTCACATCAGCAATCTACCCCTCCTAACCAGCATGGACAGGCTCCCCCGCGGAGATCGTCGACCTCATCTTCCGGAACATCGCTAGCCCTGGAACCGGCCTGCGTCACATCGCCCCGTTCCTCCGATGTGGTCGACGATGGTTCGAACACGCCGTCCCCTTCGTCTGGAAGAGAGTGTGCCTCCTGGCCATTACACAAGAGTGTATAGACAATAAGAGGAGGGCCCTGTAACCGTCACAAATCGAGACACTCACCGGCTGGGACGGACGGAAGTGCGGCTGCGGCCTTTGCCAGGCGAACGACCCACCAAACTCACAACCTCGCCAATACCTCCTTCCCCATGTGGACCTCACCTCGATCTACCGACTCCCATTCCCAAGGCTGAGGCAGATACAGCACATGAGGTTCAATGACCCAACGTTACCCGAAATGATCGAAAGACTCCACACAGCAGATGGCAACACCATCACGAGACTGGAAGTCAGCCAGTGGCATGTCGAGTCCGCCCTCCCGGACTTCGTATCATTGCTGACGAATCTCTCCCAACTCCGCGTCGACCATCTGGCATACCATCACGACGAAGTCTCAGTTGTGCAGCCAGCGTGGGACAAGCTGACGTCCGCCAGCATGTTCCGAAACCTGACGTACGGATGTGACGAGTCTGCGATAATCATACACGCCCTGTCCGACTGCCCAGAGCTGAGCAGGCTGCGCATTACTATAGAGCCGGCCATCTCGAGCCTTCTGAGTCCCCTACCCCAAACCACGCGGATTGGTACAAGCGCCGAGGTCAACCCTTCAGATCTCTCACCAAGCTCGACATCAGACCAATGAGAGAGTGCACCTCCCTGTATCAAGAGCTCGCAACCATGTCAGCCCTGAACTCGCTCACCGTACGGTTCAGGCCAGCCAGCATCTCGCCCGCAATCCTCACGTACCTGTCGAGAATGACGCAGCTGCAGGAGCTCCGCCTGATTGGAACGTCTCGCGGTGGACGGATGGGGCTCTGGAGCCGTGGGACGTTCCCCCCCAACAACGCTTCGGATGCGATCAGAGAGGGATGAGCCAACTCAAGACGTTCCAACTCAGCCTCCCCGGCGTCTACTCCCTCACGCCCGGCCAGGGAAGCCGCCAGCACATGTTGGAGTCGATTGCACGCAACAACCAAGAGATAGAGGAGCTGGTTCTCGACGCGAGCCTGCGGCTGCCAGCAGGCATCTTCTTCCTGGCGGCCCCCACCACCAAACTCGACACGCCACGACACCGGGAAATCAATGAAGATAACCCTCCACTCCATCAGCATTCCAAGGGAAGGAGAGCCTGGGCCGGTCGATGAGGGCGTAGCGGAGGTCGTCAAGCAGCTCCACACTATATTCCCAAAGCTGCGGTCCCTGTTCACCTCCGCGGACGAAATGGAACACTGTGCGAACCGTAACGGTCCGTTGCGAGGGTCGGGTGGGTTAATCAAGCCATCTTCGTCGCTTGCGGTCTAGGCGGTCTCCCGAATTGCGCATATGGACCTGCTGTTCTCAAAAGACCGACCGATCTCAGTCGAATCGAAACCGTCCCGCAATGGAACGCAGGCATCCACGTTGCATCAGATCCCTTGTCGGATCGTCCGCCCGGCCGCCCGCCCGCCCTGTGACGAGCGAGAGAACATACCCGCAATCGAGAGGGGAGTATTCGTGTCCGAAGAGGAGAAGGAGCGACCGCAGTTCGCGACGTAGGCACTAGGTAGGGAGGGCTTGGGGCACGTCTAGGGAAGTGGAGGATCAGGGCATCGCCTGCATATAGGGCAAGGGTATCATAGCGGCCCAACCGAACTTCATAACACCTAATAAGCCTTGGACCTGTACATCTCAATCCACGGCGATGTGCGCAAGATTTCATTCACTCATCGTGACAAGTAGTAGGTAAACGCCTGTGCTATCAAGTCGAACCGAAAGGCCTGTTTAAATTTGAAGGCCTTGACAGCTAAGCCAGCCAGCCTACGAATACAAGCGACCGATATAGGTACACCAGCCAGCAAAGGAGCTCTGAGGAAATCGGCTGCTCTACCTCATCTGACGCGCGGTATAGAGACAGCACCAAACAGCCAGAAGAAGGCCCCAGCCCCTGGGAGCGGAAGAGAGGAGAGGAGAGGAGAGGAGGGGGCTATCAAAGCCAAAGCCGGCTATTAGAAGTGCTCATTCGACTTGGCCCATGACCGCACCCCTTACCATCTCAACGACTGCATACCAACTTTGCAATAGCTAACACCACTAGCCCAGGCCAGACAAGAAAATGGCTTGAGATCAGAATGGAGAGTTAAGGTAGCCTTATAAGAGCAGATGAGGGGCGATCACCCGGGGGCGTAGGCTCAAACCAGCAACCCTAAGCATAGCGCACACACACGCACACCCTTCTTCCAAGGGATGTCTTCCAAAGCCTCTCAGCAGCACCCGCCACGCCTTCTTTATAGAGGTTGGTTCTTTGATATGACACTGCCAGC